TCTTAATCCCAGGTAGTCCTTTTACATTTAAATGTGTATGATCAGACAGGATAATACACCGATTACATGATTGGTGGCTCAAACCCACCTATACTGCCTCAGAAACCCGAGATAGGGTTGCTATGTCAGAACCAAAACTCAACAGCACTTAACAATAACCACAATATCAGTCATTGAAAGGAGTCCTGGCATGGCACTATAGGATAAGCACTGGACCTCAAGGTGGTTTGAACTGCAAGGTTGGCAGTTCAAACCCACAAGCTGCTCCTCAGACACCTTATACAGAATCACTACGAGTGTGAACCAACTCGGTGACACTTAACAACAAAAACCATTCAGATTTACATTCATTTAGTGGAAATGCTACCCTTTTTATTTTCTATTCTCTGCTTCTAATTCTCCTGTTTGAATCAATGTAAATAAAACATTTCCCCCTCTGATAAGATCTTTCCTAACTAGTTGGAGATGTTTCATGTGAGCACTTGATTGGGTTTCTTTTCTTTACAGTTTCCATACTTTCTTCATTGTTATAGCTCTGTTAGAGTGATGAATGCACATCTGAGTTAAAAAATGCATGCTTTAGTCTGTAAACTGACATTTCATATCAATGAGAACATTAATTTTCACTTCCTAATCTTATTTCTTTTTTGAAAAATAGGTGTATTGCTAATACCTTCTTTGTGAGGTTTAGAAATGCCGTTGGACACAGTAAAATATAACTATTATCATTATTCATGTATTCACTTTATGAAGTCCTAGTGTGGTGCTGGAAGATAAGTACTCAATCACAAGGTCTGTTTGAACCACAAGGTTGGCAGTTGAAACTTACCAACAAGTTATAACTAACTTGTTGTTGTTGTTGTTGTTAAGGATTTCTATGAGTCAGAACAACAACATAAAAATCATTTATGACAATTATTTTGTTTGTATAACTCCCCCAAACTACTATATAAAATAATAGCTAGACAATTATTTTGGTTATATAACTCTCCCAAACTGGAAGTTTTCAAATAGGTGTTTGAATGCCTGGAAAGCAATTTTGATTAATCAAGTTGTTACCTATAAGATTAAGAAAGTTCCTTAATCTTCCTAGCTGCAGATACCTCACCTGTGTGATGAAAGCAGTAAATATTTTCCCCATAATGAGAATGATGGGTGAATTAAATGAGCTGATGCCTGTACTGTTTATAGTGTTGTTGTAGCTATTAAGTGCCATTTAGTCAGTTCTAACTCATAGTGACCCTGCATAGGGTTTCCAAGGAGTGCCTCATGGATTTGAATCGCCGAGTTTGTGGTTAGCAGTCCAGTGCTTTTCCTACAGCACCACACCAGGATTCCTTTCTAGTGTAGTGCCTGTGATGTACATAGAGCAAACTAGATAACTGTGTTCATCATCACAGTAAATCTGCCTGGAAAGTCTATTACTTACCAATATCTCCATTGAATGTGGCTTCTCTCAAGGATGGAACCTAATCATTGTGAATAAAACTAGTCTGTTGCCTCTTTTGACCTCCATGCAGTTATTTTATTTAGTGAAGATCCCTATGGCTCTGTCCTGCAGAGACTGTCTGCAGAATGGATTCTTCCAAATGATGTAAAGGGGCTATATAAATAAGAGGTGGAAATGAAAACACAGCACCATTACAACCAAATGTGTATTCATGTGCACAGGCTCTTGAATTAAATGTATGATATTAAAACTAGTGGAGTCAATCGAAAAGAATGCAATAAATGGATTTGATTAAAATTATGAAAAACTTCTATAGAGCAAATCATACTAAAGAAAATTGTAAGTCATACCCAAGATGTTAAAATAAATGTTGACATTCTCTCTGACAGAAAAAGGGCCAGTAGTCTTCATGCTTCAACAAAACCCACTGCCATCCAGCTGACTCTGTCTCATAGTGACTCTGTAGGACACAGCAGAACGGCGCCAGAGGGTTTCCAGGGCTGTACTCTTTAAGGACCGGAGCTCTGGTAGCCTAGTGATTAAGAATCGGGCTGCAAATTGCAAGGTGAGCAGTTCGAAACTACCAACTACTCTGCAGGAGAAAGATGAGGCTTTCTGCTCCCATAAAGATTTACAGCCTCGGAAACCCTGTTCAGGGTCCCTATGGGTCAGAACCGACTCGGCGACACTTAACAACAACAACACTCTTTAAGGAAGCTGACTGCCTTGTCTTTATATCATGGAAATGCCTAGTGGATTTAAATGCTGACCTTACAGTAAACAATCTACTGCCTTACCCAATGTACCACCAGAACTCCAACGGCATTACTAGGGTAGGTGTCACCCAGTGCAGTAATTCATGATGTCACCCCCCCCATTGGGCTTCTGGTATACCAGACCATCTAACATCCTTGGTGATGGTGGCGGTAGTTGTTTGCTATGGAGACGGTTCTGACATACAGCGATCCTGTATAGGATTTGTGAGACTATACACCTTTATGGGAGCAGAAGGTCTCTTTTTTGCCTCCTGCAGAATGCCTGGTCGTTTCCAAGTGCTGACTTTGAGGTTAGCAGCTTGACTCAAAACCACCACGCTACCAGAACTCTTTATATAACATCATTAGTAATACTTTTTATCAGTTTTGATCATTGAATAATATGCTTAACTGTAATATTTATTAGATTAAATTAATTGTGTTACTGTTGTTAGGTGTCATAGAACACTAGCAACATAATTGCTTTGTAAAATCTTTCATTACATTATATTATTAGTATCACCATCATTAATAAACAAGCCAAAGTCTTTATAACATTTTTCTCCTTTTACTTTCATTTCTACTTCATTCTCAAAAACATTTTTCATACAGGTCTACAAATAACCACAATATTGTAGCTAAAACATCCGAAAAACTAACAAAATCAGGGACTATAAAAACAGCGACAGCAACAAAAATAAAGGTGAGAGTACTTGTAGCAGGTGCAGTCACACCCATATGAATTGAAGCATCACTCTAAGTAGGTAATGATGTCCCCACCCGAATCCATTGCTGTTGTTAATGCCTTTGCATTGGATCTGACTCATAGAGACCCTATATACAGCTCCGAGGCTGCAAACCTTTATAGGAATAGGAAGCCTCATTATTCTCCCAATGAGCTGCTGGTGGATTTGAACTGCCAAGCTTGTGGAGTCCATTACTTATTCAGTGTCATCAAGTCAATTCTGACTCATAGTGACCATATACAGGGTTTCTGAAACTATAAATCCTTACAGGAACAGACAGCCTAATCTTTCTCCAGAGGAGCAAATGATGATTTTGAACCATTGACCTTAGAAAGTTCAAAGAGCAAATTAGCACAGAGTTTTAGCCTTGTTGGTATATGATATGTGTAAGCTGGTGTGGTGCTGTGGGTTAATGTGCTGCTGGATAGCAAAGTTGGTTTGAACCGGAAGGTCAGTGGTTCAAACTCACCGGCAGCCCCTTTAAAACCTTATACAGGGTCGCTATGGTTGGAACAGACTCGATGATGCTTAACAACAACAAACTGGGCAAACACAATAATTATTTTTTTTGTTTTTTGTAACTAACTTGTTGTTGCTGTTTGTAAGTGTCATTGAGGCAGTTCTAATCCATAGCAACCATTTATAGGGTTTCCGAGGAGCAGCTGATGAGCTAGAACCACTGACCTTGCATTTCAAACCAACTCTGCAGTCCAGCACATTAACTCACAGTGCCACTCCAGGACTCCTATAACTAAATATATATGTAATATATTATATATATTATGTATAATAATAATATATTATTTTTATTGCATAGAAACTATTTTTCATATATATTATTTTATATATATATGCAAAGACAATACATTTCAGCTGACAATTGAAATTTTTTTTTGGAGCGTCATTTTGGATCCACCCTCCTTTGATAGTGTCTTGATTCCTTTTGCATAAAAAACATTAACTGATTAAAAGATGAAATCTTTGAAACCACAATTTAGTCTGGGATGGTGAATCGGGAAGGGTTCTTTGACATTAGATTATTAGTTGAAAGAGGATGGACACGTCATCGTCAGAAAACCAAGGAAAGAACAAACATTCTAGACTAAGAGGAAAGAGCCTCAGGGTCCCGTGAATGACGCACTTGGTGATGGAAAGCATTTAAGAAGTCAGGGAAATAGAGAGTAGAATGAGAGCTAAAGAGGACAAAGCTTGTGAGGCCACAGCTACAACATCCAGGACTGCTCTCAGATGGGCCACTCATGTTGGTTATGTTCAGTTTACCTGAGGGTCATAAGGTGTGATTCTGTTTGTTTTTTATCTTCTCTTCAGGAACTTACATGGTGTTCAATATATAGTAGGTGCTCAACAAATGCAAATGTTAGATGCAAAATAGGCATTGAAACTACCATCGTCAACTATATCACAAAAATAAAATCAAAAGTTTCTTTGTATATCTGAATATAATATGAAATTTGATAGTATTTTTGTCTTTAAATTGAAATGCATTCATTTCAAATTAAAGACAATAATACACCTTGAACAAGTAATATCTATTCCAGAGCTGGTTTAATTGTAGTTAGTTTGCTAACGTGATTTATCTCAAATTAATGTCAGTGAAGAAAAATCATGACAACAATAACCATAGAAAATGCATTTGAAAATTATTAACAGCCATTGTCAAGGTTAGTAATGAAAGCAGAGCTACTTGATAAACAAGGAAATA